CTACTGAAATATGCTCTAGTAGCCGGATCAAAGTTGAAGCGAGAATTGACGCCAAATTGACAAAATTCTAGCCCGTCTGGATAACATTTATCCTAGCGAAGTTGGGACTAGACGTCGCGCCATGAGCCCGCAACGGGACTCGAACCCTGGGCACCAGCCTTGTCGTTGGGCCACACACGACCTCAGCGACCCCAACCTCAGAAAAGGCAGCATGCTCGAGTCATTCAGATCCATATGGGCGCTAAGGAACAGGAGACGCAACGCCACCTCGCGATTCACCAACTGTCCCAGAATACCAGCCCCACCAGCCGTCACGTTGTACCCAACAAAACCCCCTTTGGCTGCTGTGGAGCAATAGGTTCTGTGCCAAGCACATTTTTTAAAGTGAAAATTCGGCCGGAGCAAATGAAGAAATAGGTATCCGTGAGGCTTAGTACCAATATTTTGGTGAACTTTATGGCTAAATTGACATTTTATAGCCACCAAACAAAGAAAGGCTATAATTGCCATCTTTCTTGTTCAATTCTGCGTTAGTGTGTGCGTATGTGTGCTTATGACCGTCCTCTAAAACATACATATTTGTCTGTGATAGATCTGTTTTTCCGTGCACACGTAAGTCTACGCATACGTGTGTATCTAAAAGTGTGTATGTGCATCCTTCCGAGAGTGTAAGAATGTATGGCGTTTCGAGGTTTGATGTAGATCGCGTTTGACATTTGCTGATGCTCTCACCCTTGAAAATAACAAAGTTCCTATTATTTCCGCAAACTTTGTGATCTCTTCCGAGTACGTGTGAGTGTGTGCGTGCACCCACGAGCCTCTATTTATGTGTTCTCGTGTGCATATAGTTGGTGCCCATGCGTCCGTGTGCAAGTGGGCAGGCTCACGGGACAGTGTACGGCACAAGGGAAAATCAGTCATTGTAATTTGACTTGCTGATGTAGATCCGAAAGACTTTGACACACAATCTGGAGGTACCAAACAGGGGTTCTGGGACAGGACTGCAGTTTGTCCGCCCCTTCATGCTATCTCTCGCGTTGTCCTCCCGGCTGTATCAAGGCGAGACTTCTACAGCGGCGGGAGGCCGATTGCTCGGCCCGGCGTTGGGGTGTCGGAAAAAGAAAGTCACCTTATTGCCAGGCAACAGTATTGCACTTGTGCGTGAATTGGGCAAGAGAATAAGACCACGCAACCATCCCAGACCAGCAGCAGGCACAATGCTTCTCCTGGCAACCCCAAACGCCAGCAGTCAAATATCACTGGAGAGAGAGAGAGAGAGAGAGGCCGTGGCTTTGCCTGCCTTTGAACACATCACAGCCCAGATACCGGTCAGGCTCCCGATCAGCTCGCCAGGGTCTAGGCAACAGGCCAATTCTGATCGTGCTCCGAGGAAAGAAGCTCAGAGACTGGCAATTTTTTCACCTCTCGCCTCGGTGATATCGGTCAGTTGTTTCGGGGTTGGACATTTTGAAAAGACCATACAGAAAGCTGGATATAGGCAAGAAACTCTGTTCATATTGGCTTAAATGCACACATCCCCTATTCAATAGTGGTGTAAGCGAATGAGAGTAATAGTAATAATAGTAATAATACCGAAATAAAGCATAAGCAACCGATGCAATGACTGAACTGATACGCCATGCTGGAAGTCCTATTGGCACACGAGAAACAGGGGACTCGGAATTTTGGCCACCTCAAAGCAGATTCGTCCAAGAATAGATGTACTCGACGAGACCGAGTAGGCCCCTTTTGATGAGACCATGGCAGTTGCAACTGTCAAAGCAGCATATTTTCGGGCAAAAGCTATTCCTCAACTCTAGCCGCAAGTTACCGCGGTTTGTGTTACAAAGTGTAGGCAAGCACAATGAGAACGCTAAAGAGAAAACAGAGTAGCTACGACAAGACATTTTCGTGTTTTCCACCTTGACCAATTTCATCATATTGTAGCCAAAGGGGGCCGATCTCTCCAGAAAACGGGGTTCTAAAAATAGATCCAAGTCTCAAGTGGGCTGAAAGCTCAGTTGCGTTGCTTATCTAATGTCATGCATGCATGTATGTACGGATCCGACAACATTTGACTCTTTGCATACTTTAAATAAATTTTAACCAAAGGCCCGATATTTGCTTTGTGGTGTACATCAGAGAAAATCATGCATGGTAGTAGTATGATAATGAGCAAACTTTCGTTTGTATTGTATTGGCTAAAGCATTAAAAATAAGGGGGACCTTTATTTCGAATGAAAGTACATGATGAAGAGATTCGTTTTTCGATCTCACCAGATGAAGACGGATGAAAATCGTTGTACTGCAGCCGTTTGGCTTTTATATG